TATATATATATTATAACCACCGTGGAAAAATGTGTTAGGTAAAGTGTGAGCAAATTGCCTAAATCCCATCCAGCTCGTGTTTTCAGTGACACACTCCCCTCCTTGCAGATGGTTACTAAAATCCATTTGGACCTAATAGAGTCCAGTGTGAAAGCTCATGGGTGTCTGCAAGTGGTTAGAATTATCATATAAATGCCATCTGTGAGCACTGAGCACCCCCCCTTTCCTTTTCGTGTCTGTGATGAAGCTGCCAGAGTCCTGATGCATCAAATTACGATGGTGTCAATTCTGACAGTCGGTGACGCTGCGTGGGTCCGAGGTAGGAGTGAGTGGAGATATATGACAAAAATCACTGATTCTGTCACAGTCATTAGTTAGACTAGAAGTTCACTCGGGGTCTGGTTGCATCTTGGCTTTTTTTATTTGTTACTTAGATCACGGGTATTGATAATCCTGTTGAGTTTTATGGTAATCTTGCACACGAAGGCATTACAGCTTTATCTCTTATCTGATCTTTTTTCCTGGAGTCATTTAAATCTATAAAAAACTGCTCAAAACAGTATCACAGAGGAATGGTGCGTCATGCACTAAAGAAACAAAGAAAGAAGCCACACACCCATAAAAGCCAGCTTCACTTATACAAAAATCAGCACATACAAGAACGCAAAAAAAGAAGGCTGTAGTGAACTAGGACAATATATATAAAATAAATGAGTGGATCACTCATTTACTTGATGCCATCAAGCCTTGAAATATGTATATAAACATATATTTGTACTTCCTGCATGCCCATGCCATCAGCTATGCATTAGTACACATTCAGGTTTCCAAAATGATCAAGTTTCCGCCCCAGGAGCTGAGTGTTCCTAGTCTTGATAATGCGCTTAGACCAAATCAAATTTTTCATAGGTATTATACCTTATGTCACCCACTTATTTTTGAAGGTTTACAGCATCTCCATTTCAGAAAAAAAAAAAGAAATAACTTTTTCCTTTTACAGAAAGTAAGGATACATAAATAAGTCTGTTGAAATAAGTCTGAATTATCTGTCTGGCAGCTCAAAAAGGTGAAACACAAGATATTTATCCATCCATCCATCCATCTTCATCCGCTTTATCCGGGGCCGGGTCGCGGGGGCAGCAGCCTAAGCAAAGAGGCCCAGACCTCCCTCTCCCCAGCCACCTCCTCCAGCTTATCCGGGGGAATACCAAGGCGTTCCCAGGCCAGCCGAGAGATATAATCTCTCCAGCGTGTCCTGGGTCTGCCCCGGGGCCTCCTCCCGGTGGGACATGCCTGGAACACCTCACCCAGGAGGCGCCCAGGGGGCATCCTTGTCAGATGCCCGAACCACCTCAGCTGGCTCCTTTCGATGTGGAGCAGCAGCTGCTCTACTCTGAGCCCCTCCCGGATGGCCGAACTTCTCACCCTATCTCTAAGGGAGAGGCCAGCCACCCTTCGGAGGAAGCTCATTTCTGCCGCTTGTATCCGCGATCTCGTTCTTTCGGTCACTACCCACAGCTCGTGGCCATAGGTGAGGGTAGGGATGTAGATCGACCGGTAAATTGAGAGCTTCGCTTTTACACTCAGCTCCCTCTTCACCACGACGGACCGGTGCAGCATCCGCATTACTGCAGCTGCAGCCCCAATCCGTCTGTCGATCTCCGGCTCCCTTCTCCCATCACTCGCGAACAAGACCCCGAGATACTTGAACTCCTCCACTTGGGGCAGGAACTCATCCCCGACCCAGAGTGGGCACTCCACCCTTTTCCGGCTGAGAACCATGGCCTCAGATTTGGAGGTGCTGATCCTCATTCCCGCTGCTTCACACTCGGCTGCGAACCGTTCCAGTGCGAGCTGGAGGCCCTCACCCTGGTGTTGATGAGGTCCGCCCCAAGTTCCTGAAGGCTCTGGACGTTGTAGGGCTGTCCTGGTTGACACGCCTCTGCAATGTTGCGTGGAGATCAGGGGCAGTACCCGTGGACTGGCAGACCGGGGTGGTGGTCCCCATCTTTAAGAAGGGGGATCCCCCTGTAGTGTTCCAACTACAGGGGGATCACACAAGATATTTATTTTAATTGTTATTAAGAAACAATGGCTTTTTTTTTTTCAAATAGCAGCATACATCCAGAATATATGCTATAAAACTCCTGAACAGCTGACCTACCCCAACTGCAATTTGTACATCAGCACACTTTTTATCCTTATTTTTATCTTTATTATCTTGTTCCTTTAACCATTACCTAACTTGGCATTTGTGTATGGACACCAAAGGAAGAATTTCATTGCACAGAGAAATGCTATTTCTTCTGTATACATGACAATAAACACTTTGAATCTTGAATCTTGAATAAGATCTGAGTTTAGGTACTATCTTGATCAATGTGCTATAGAAGTATGCAACAACTCGGACATCAGCTTAAATAAAACTATATTTATTATTTCACTGGTTACTCAGCAAATGAAATGAAAAAAGGTGGGAAGCTTCACAATTGTATTATTTATATTCAACATATGTATAATTGCACAAACAGTGACAACAAGCAGACCCAACTTTTTGAACATGAACTTTATTTGGAGTTGTGGTTGCTCGTTTTCCTTTTGTTTTGCTTTGTTCATTTGTCTCTTTTAATTCTATTTTGTTGTACTTTTTCAACATGTTCAAAATAAAGATTCAATCAAATCAAATCAATCAAAGGGAGGCACTGCTGTAGTAACTCAACAGCTAGCTTAGACCTCAATCACAAAGGCCTAGAGATCCGGTATCCACAACTCACCAGGAAAACTGGGTGCATGGAGGTCATTATGAGTCACTTGGTGAAATTGGTTGCAAAGACGATGCTGCACCGATTACCTCTTTCAGATGGCTTTGGTCGTTAGCAGTTTGCCATGGCTGCCCACAGTTATGGTAGTTTTGGGAGTGGGAGTTTTTCCTTCCCGCTGTCACCAAGTACTTGCTCATAGGTAGTCGTCTGATTGCTGGGGTTAAAGTGCCTTGAGACAACTGCTGTTGTGTTCTGTATAGAAAATCTTGTCTGCAATTATAACCTAACTATTACCAAAAATGGAGAAAATTTGCCTTCAAAGTCAAGTTATGCCTTTTACTTTGAGGTACAACTCTCTGTTTTCACTACCGCTTGGAGAGAGCAGTTGGCAAGTGTTTGCAGGTGTTCAGTGTAACCTCTTTGTGACTTATTTCACCTTGTGACAAAGGTGAGGCATATTCAAGGAATACACATTTAATCCTCATGACCGGTGACTGCCAGATGGTGACCAGCTGGTCTAGGCCTGTGTGACTGAGGCCACAGCACATAGCACTCTATATATCCTGAACTCACAGCATCCTGGACCTGACTCACAGCTAAATGCCAAACTAACTGATATTACCCTTCACACTTCCATTGAGGCAATGGCCAGGCCAGCTCCAGAATACAGAAGTAACTTAACATTGGATAAAGTGCATTAATGTCATTCTCTAACTGATTTGAACACCTATTTATGGTAATATGTGATTGAATAGTGCAGTTACAACATTAGTTGGATAGCCAGACTGACAAATCACAGCCCTCTAATGACATCTCCAGGAACTTGACATTTGGGTCATACATCCATTTTGAGGATATTGAAAAATGCCCAGATGGTAGATGACCTTCTTTAATCTGAAATAAATAAATTGAGTTGCTACAAAGTAACAAAATTAATTGATACATCATTTAATATTAAATAAAATAACCTATAAAAAGAGTCCTGCATCCCTGAATACATCTTTAATCAAGACAATTAATTTTTGGATTATTTCATTTACTCAGTCCCTCAAAAAGATATGTTCACATAATTATACACATCTCATTATTACTGTTGTAGTTTCGGACATCACATGAATAACACTGAATACTTAAGGGCAGAGGTTCCCAAAGTGTGGACGAAAGGTGCAAACACATAGAAAAATCTGCGTTTTCAAAAATACCCGTGTACACGTGGGCGTAGCCTGAGTTTTTAAAAAAATCACAGTTTTCGGTGATTCGAAACACCATTTACGTGTGGACGAAAGGCCCAAACGCGTAGAAACAGCTGCGTTTTCAAAAATACCCGTGTAGATGTGGACGTAAAACAGTTAGTAGTTTATTTCATTGCTACCTGTAATTTACTGCAGTTTACTTGTATTTGTTTAGTTGTTTACTAAATATACTAAATGCAATGGAGTTTGAAAATAAAATATAACAAAATACGGGAACCACTGCTTCAGGGGAGTTTTTTATTACAAATACATTGGGAAAAAACACATTTAGTTATTGTCCAATCATTCATTAGCAGCACGGTTATCGTGATCAGCTTCCTTTTACTGACTACACAAAGTCAGCTTCTTTATTTACATGAAAGACCATTGAATCTCGCTCTGTATCTATATTATGTGTGTATAGGTCCTCTGCCAGAGGGTAAATGCACAAATCCAGCGATCGGAAAACGTGCCCACGTGACGGTGTTGTTCATGTTCCTGGAATCCAAATGAGAGTCCTTGGGCTGGTTCGCCTCCTACCCCAATCCTCTGAGTAACAATGAACAGTGTGGGGAGAGAATTAACCATTTTCAGTTTTCATGTTATTTGGCAATTGCAGTTACTTTGAGACAAAGGAATATTAAAGGCTGAATTTCAAACTAAGCCTGTCAGGAAAAATACCAACAAAGGGTTCCATAAGTTTCTGCGTCTGTGGGGTTTTTTCCCTTCCTCAAACTCTGCGATTTCTCTTCTTTCTGAAGCTTCTGACATCAATAACTGTTTAGCTGCCTCCAGCATCAAATAACACTCAGCAGTACCTACTTAGACAATTAAGTTAGAGGATTCGCAGTAGCACGGTTTTATAATTTGCATGTTGTTTGCTCAATAAACTGAAATTGGAAGTTATTTTGCTGCTTGCTTAGACAAGGAAACAAATCAAAGAAAAACAGTAGGCTGTTTGTGGATTTTTTTTAAAAAAACAAAAAACTACAAAATAGGAAATAAATTACAAATTGGAGAAAGTGGACAAACCACTTGCTAAGCAGACCTAAAGATAAGGGATCAATTCACTCCAAACAGGAATGTGGTTCACTATGTAACAAGTAAATTATTTGAAAGCAATTGGCAGGAGCTGTTGTCTACCTGTTCATAACTGAAATGAGGAGAAACTCATCAAACATGAACAAGAAGAGTTCAGATGAAACTGAATGCCATGAAGCAGAACCTCTGGCTTTTTATTACTACTTCATTACTAAAAGTTCATTTTCAAAGTATTAAGTATTGAGTAAATATCAAAGAGCAATCTCAGCATCTGGGTCTTTATGTTTAGAGATTTATGTCCAAGGGCAACTTCCTGAATAATTTCATAATACCTACTAATACCTACTGTGTGTGTGTGTGTGTGTGTGTGTGTGTGTGTGTGTG